GAACGTACGGCACCTCCGAGTTCTGCACAAGTTCAGCTCGATGACGTCCCTCGAACTCTTGATACAGCAAAGTGTCGAGGGAGAGTTCCGTCAGCACGATGGCATGGTGACGGTGATGGTGAAGTGATCCACGCAAGGCTTCGCCTAAGCACTAGGGGAATATGACCGGGGCGTAAACTGTGGAGGGGGGCGCCGCACACCGCTAACAATGTTTTATGTGTGTTCTAGCGGTGCCCCCCCCCCCCACATATATATATAGGTTGGAGGGGAGGAGAGGCAGCCAAGGGGGCACTCCAAGTAGGAGGAATCCTACTTGGGGTCCTCCCAATTCGGCCTCCCCCCTTTCCTATTCCTATTCGGAGTAGGAAGGGAAGAGGGGGAAGGGGGGTCTTGTTCCCTTTTTCCTTTCCTCCTTCCCCTTTCCTTATCCAATTTGGCCAGCCCATATGGGGGGCGCACTAGCCCCTTTGTGGCTGGTGTGTTTCCCCTCTTGGCCCATAAGGCCCATATCTTTTGCCAGGGGTGCCCGGAACCCCTTCTGGTGACCCGACAAGTACCCGGTGCTTCCCAGAACACTTCCGATGTCCGAATACCATCGTCCTATATATCAATCTTTACCTTTCGACCATTTTGAGACTCCTCTTCATGTCCGTGATCTCATCCGAGACTCCGAACAACATTCTGTCACCAAAGCACATAACTCATATAACAAATCATCATCGAACGTTAAGCATGCGGACCCTACGGGTTCGAGAACTATGTAGACATGACCGAGACACCTCTCCGGTCAATAACCAATAGCGGAACCTGGATGCTCATATTGGCTCCCACACATTCTACGAAGATCTTTATCGGTCGAACCGTAATGACAACATACGTTATTCCCTTTGTCATCGGTATGTTACTTGCCCGAGATCCGATCGTCGGTATCTTCATACCTAGTTCAATCCCGTTACCGGCAAGTCTCTTTACTCGTTCCATAATACATCATCCTGCAACTAACTCATTAGTCACGTTGATTGCAAGGCTTCTTATGATGTGTATTACCGAGAGGGCCCAGAGATACCTCCCCAATAATCGGAGTGACAAATCCTAATCTCGATCTATGCCAACCCAACAAACACCTTCGAAGATACATGTAGAGCATCTTTATAACCACCCAGTTACGTTGTGACTTTTGATAGCACACAAGGTATTCCTCCGGTATCTGGGAGTTACATAATCTCATAGTCAAAGGAATATGTATATGACATGAAGAAAGTAATAGCAATAAAACTGAACGATCAATATGCTAAGCTAACGGATGGGTCTTGTCCATCACATCATTCTCCTAATGATGTGATCCCGTTCATCAAATGACAACACATGTCTATGGTTAGGAAACTTAACCATCTTTGATTAAAGAGCTAGTCTAGTAGAGGCTTACTAGGGACACTGTGTTTTGTCTATGTATCCACACATGTATCAAGTTTCCGGTTAATACAATTCTAGCATGAATAATAAACATTTATCATGAAATAAGGAAATATAAAATAACAACTTTATTATTGCCTCTAGGGCATATTTCCTTCAGGGTTGGCATAGATCGAGATTAGGATTTGTCACTCCGAGTATCGGAGAGGTATCTCTGGGCCCTCTCAGTAATGCACATCATAATAAGCCTTGCAAGCAATATGACTAATGAGTTAGTTGCGGGATGATGCATTATAGAATGAGTAAAGAGACTTACCGGTAACGAGATTGAACTAGGTATGAAGATATCGACGATCGAATCTCGGGCAAGTAACATACCGATGACAAAGGGAATAACGTATGTTGTCACAACGGTTCGACCGATAAAGATCTTCATAGAATATGTGGGAGCCAATGTGAGCATCCAGGTTCCGCTATTGGTTATTGACCAGAGAGGTGTCTCGGTCATGTCTACATAGTTCTCGAGCCCGTAGGGTCCGCACGCTTAATGTTCGATGACGATTTGTATTATATGAGTTATGTGATTTGGTGGCCAAATGTTGTTCGTAGTCCCGGATGAGGTCACCGACATGACGAGGAGTCTCGAAATGGTCGAGAGATAAAGATTGATATATTGTATGATAGTATTCGGACACCGGAAGTGTTCTGGAGTGTATCGGGTACATATCAAAATACAGGGGGGTTATCGGAACCCCCCGGGGGAAGATATGGGCCATATGGGCCATCGGAGGGAGGCACACCGGCCCACAAAGGGGTGGCGTGCCCCCCACAAGGGAGGAGTCCGGATTGGACTAGGGAGGGGGTGGCGCCCCCCTTTCCTTCTCCTCCTCCCTCTCCTTTCCCCTTTTCCCCTCCGGTAAAAGGAAGGGGAGCGAATCCTACTAGGAGCCCAAGTAGGACTCCTCCTACTTGGGGCGCGCCTAGGGCCGTTCTCTTCCCCTCTCCCTCCTTTATATACGGGGGTGGGGGCGCCTCTAACACACATCAATTGTTCCAAGCCGTGTGCGGCGCCCCCGCTCCACAGTTTACGCCTCCAGTCATATTCACGTTGCTTAGGCGAAGTCCTGCGCGGATAACTTCACCATCATCATCACCATGTCGTCGTGCTGACGGAACTCTCCCTCGACACTTTCCTAGATCAAGAGTTTGAGGGACGTCATCGAGCTGGACGTGTGCAGAACTCGGAGGTGCCGTACGTTCGGTGTTTGATCGGTTGGATCGAGAAGACGTTTGACTACATTAACCGCGTTAACTAATGGTTCCGATTTCGGTCTATGAGGGTACGTGGACACACTCTCCCCCTCTCTTTGATATGCATCTCCTAGATAGATCTTGCATGAGTGTAGATTTTTTTTGAAATTGCATGTTACGTTTCTCAACATTATTGTCTGTGATGACACAGTTAAGGTATGTTCTGCTATGATCACCAAGAGAAAAACATTATTGCCTAAAAAAACTAATTGGAGAAAAGGTATCCGTAGGAACCAATTTTCTTTTTTCAACTCTCCCAATACTAAAAAGCGGATTTGATTTGCACTGCTACGTCCATGCCCCGATTTCCAGTCAAAAGCGGTCAACGTATGCCAGGAATATGGCCGGTTCAGACCCCCAAGTGACCGTACGATGAGCGGTTAATGCAATTAAGACATTTTTTGTCTTAATCCTATCATGTAATTTGGAGATGACAAAAAATGGCGTACAATGAGCTGTCTCTTACTTGTATCTCTAGTAACTAGATATTCTTAAAAATATGTAAAATATTTGTTACAAAGAGATCATCTTTTAATTAAGATAAGGCAAAGTCTTTTTTCTTTCTTTTTCTCCGCCTCTACATTTATGCTATGTGACACTTTTAAGATAGCACCGCCTCTACATTTATGCTATGTGGTAGTTTTAAGATAACACCATTATACATGCTCTTATGACCGTAATTTGCGCTTTCCAAAATACAAGGGCCGAGGCGAGAGAGCAGCCAATGCAATTAAAATAATAGTAACTTGCGCTCTCTAGGATGCGGTGGCTAACGCTGGTTATCGCAGGGAGTAACTTAGGCTAATAATATTATATGTGGTGTCATGCATACATCATTTATTAGGTTGTAAACTCATATTACATTAACAATTGCCTTTCTTTTTCTTATTAATTACTTATCACGTCATCTACTTTACCTAGATATGTGATGTCATCTACTTTACCTAGATAGTGGGGAGTACTTAGAGCAGTAACATGCATATGTTACTAGTCTATATTACTACCTTTATAATGGGGAGTAACATATGTATAATGTCAGACTAGTCATAATGGGTAGTAACTCAGACTAGTAACATGCATATGTTACTAGTCTATGTTACTACCATCATAGTGGGTAGTAACATAAGTGTAATGTTATGTATCCTTCATTTATTATGTTGTAGACTCATTTTGTATTGGGATGAGTTATGTTACGGTAACATATTATGTTACCACAAGCATCACTCCCCTCATTAATTCCATGCCACATAAGCATATATGTTTTGGGATGCGTTATATTACTACCTAAGTTACTCCTATTATGGTTAGCCTCATGCAACACTTCATTTATTAGGTTATATAGACTCATCTTGTCTTGACATGTGACATTACTTATAGTGTGAGTGACATATTATGTTACGACATGCCTCTTTTTTCTCATTAATTACTTGTCACATCAGCTATTTTGTCTTAGATATATGTGATATTATCACTTACGTTACTCCCACCATGCGAAGAGTACAATAACCATATAATTCACGCATGGTTTGGCACCTGTTTTCTTAAAGTGACATGTTTTTTTTCCTGCAAGTCATTTCACAAGGCGTAAATAATTCTCGATCCGTGGAGGTGACTGCTTCTTAAATTAGGCTGATTAGCTGACACGACGCTTTTGCGAGTAAGATAGCAGGCTAACACTGTAATCGCAAAGCCTCGAATTGCGGTCAGCCCGGAGTGAGGCTTTGCGACCAAAACTCCAGGAATTGAAGAGCATCCATTCTGACGAAGCAGATTCCACCTCAACACACTTCACATGAAATCTCATCTCATTTCCTTGTGGGCACGAGGTTAAGGAAACACAACACGGTGATCCGTTTCCTGTAAAATGGACAGCAACAGAGACATACGTATATACGTATAAATGGAAACCAAGCGTTGTAGGAATCCAAACCCCACGCCGAGACGAGCAGCAGGCAAAATGTTACTAACAGGAGATGCCAACACAAATAAGTCTAAACCATATCTGTTCTATTGGAAATTTCAAACGGTAATATACAGCAGTTCCACTAACAGCACGCTAGGTATGAACAACCACGCAGGGATTTACAAACCCCGTTATCTTGCACCGGAGCGTCGAACCTTTCTCCCGATAAAAGGGGGAGCAGGCGCAACAGCCAGTCTGGTGCCCATGACAAGGGAAATCACAGCTGGGAACAAGGGGAAAAGAAGAAGAACGAAAACTTTTCCTCTAGGGCAAACATGTACAGCTTGGGAGGAAAACACATGATGGCCAGAAATCACAAGACTGTATTGATGTGCAATGCTTTCAACAGTGAGGTGGCCATTTGTTTGACCAGCACTTGTTGACCGCCACGTTGCCCGTCCCTACGTTCTTCAATGAGGTTTTGTAGCTTCTGGGGAAGGTCGTTCTCCACTATGAGCTGCTTTGGTCGAGGGTGGTGCTCATAGACAACCTGGAAATTTGTAACATAGTCACATATTACAACTCACGTTGTACATAACAGCATGGAACACGTTTTACTTGACATGTAGAATCACTGAATCATGAGAAAAGAGTGAACAGCAAACCTTTATTAGTTTCAGCAGAGTCAAACGAGCAATAGCTTCTCGATGGTCAAGTCTTGCAATAAGCAATGTCGTCAAACCATTGGTGGCTATTGCAGTATTTATCCGAGATGATTTCCTGCAATTGCATTGCATACCATTGCATCTATCAATATAATCTGTGTCATTATAGAAGAGATAACATCAAACAGGAAAGGCTGCCCTCTGTTCTTACGTGATTATTTTGAGGAAAGCATCGAGTATATGAACAAAATATTGTTCAGGGCAGTCTTCGAAAAATTTCACCAACTTCTGAATGGCCTCTTTCTTCAACAAGGCTTGCTCTACTTTTCTGTGATCATTGTCATGAGCCAAACAAACAGCAATGGAATCCAAAGCTGTACATGCCCATGCATCATCCTCTAACAGGTCCAAGTACACATCCAGGCCTCCATGAGCTCTCAACTGCTCTCTAGAGTTGCGAGAAGCATGAGCCATATCACAAAGCAGAGGCAATGCATACTGCCTTAGCGGCGAGTCTGACATGACAAAATTCATCAAGTGAGGGATGATCCCATTTTCAGCTGCTTGTTCCTGTCTTCTTTTATTGATCTTACAAAGGTTGAACAGCGCATTGAGGACCTAAATGCAGACAGGACAAGGCTGTTATGATGTGCATGTTAGAGTTCCCATATGACAATGCACAAAAACTTGCAAAAGAAGGATAATTACG